AAATTCTGGTTGCTATGGCAACACATAGGCTTAAAATATGGCAAATTTTACACATAAACTGGATCCAGTGATAACACAAAAAGTACTGGAAATATTTTTATGAAACTTGAAATATGGGTAGATGGCAGTCTGGAGATTATGCACGTCTTTTTCTTTTCTTCCTATGTTGAAAATTCTGGTTGCTATGGCAACAAATAGACTGAAAATATGCCAAATTTTGCGAACACAGGATCCAGTTTATGTGTAAAAAGTAATAGAAATATTTTTATGAAACTTGTAATATGGATAGATGGCAGTCTGGAGATTATGCACGTTTTTTTCTTTTCTTCCTATGCTGAAAATTCTGGTTGCTCTGGCAACACATAGACTGAAAATATGGCAAATTTTACACTTACACTGAATCCAGTGATAACTCAAAAAGTACTGGAAATATTTTTATGAAACTTGATATATGGGTAGATGGCAGTCTTGAGATTATGCATGTCTTATCTGTTCTCCCTATTTTGAAAAAATATTGGTTGCCTTGGCAACAAATAGGCTTAAAACATGGCAAATATAACATTGTTTGTGATAAGTCAAAAAGAGCTGAAATTTTTTTATGAAATTGCATCTTTAATTCAAGAGTTATCTCCTCTTTAAGCATTTTGCTTTTAAAAATGTTATATTTTGGTAACAGGGATGTTTCAAATATTAACTTTAGAGTGTCCTTCAGTCCGTCTGTCTGTCTGTTCATAAAAACTGTTTCCTGTGATCACTTTTAAAGAACTTTTCCAACAAATTTACTTAAAATATAGAAAAATTGAAACATTAGTGAATGGCCATTGGCCCTTCAGAATGTTGATGGGGTTCTAACCGGTAGGGGACTTATGGATTGCTTGCAATACTAATATAATTGCTTGTTTATCTGTGAATATATTTAAATATAGTTAGTTTTTACATCACATTGACACTGAGGAGATTATGATAATGGTGACATTCCAGCCTTACCAGTGGAGGAAGACCTCATGTGCTCCTCTGTGTGATTTTACAGTCATGAACCAGCACAAACCAACTGTCAGCTAGGTGGATAGCTCCTTACATGCAAGAATTTATAGTCTTTGACAGGATTTGATCCTGATGAACTCACTGGCAAGTGGTTCAAAGTCAATAACCTTAACTATATGGCAGTTGTCAGGCCCCTTCTTATCTTTGAAATGAGGCACAGAAGTTCAGTTGCTTTAACTGACAGTCATATATAGCAATATTAATGGAAAGTTGTTTTATAATACTTTCTACCAAAATTTTAAATTCTTTCAGTTTTTTTGTTTACAGTTTATTGTTGTTTTAGCTACCTTTATACCTATTGAAATATGTTTGTTGTTAATTTCAAAATAAAACTTCGGGGGTAGAGCTGGTAAAAACCCTGTTTAATAAAATCCCAATTTGAGAGACGGGTTTTAGGGTTTCCTCTACAAATGTTTGGGTAACCCCAATCCCCATTACTGGTTGAAAAAAAACCCAAAGTTTCGTAAGTTATTTTATGTAATGTACCTGTATTTATAGTTGCAACAGTAGACCCATACAGGCAACTTGCTTTAGAAGATAGTTAATGATTTTATTTCTTGGAGGAGAAAAGAAATTATTCCCTTCTAAGAGAAATGATTGGTTCAGATAAAAAATGCAAGATGTAAAGAACCGTTACACTGGACCACAGTTTTTATATTCCTGTTAGAAATACTTAGAGCTGTAGGGATTCAAATTTGTGATTTGTTACCACAGGACAACTTTAGTGTTATTAATAATTATTTGTTAAATGTTTGAAAATGTTAATTATAGGTTTATTAAAGTACCAGCAATACAGACAAAAGTGTGTTCAAATACTATTTACCTTTTGGTTTGACTTAGATGTCAAGTTGGCTGGGAAAATGTTATGTGTTAATGTTTTTCCCTTTCCTTGTATTGGAATTTGAAGTCAAACCAATGTCTTTTATTTCAAACAGTTGATAAAATTATACAGGTAATGCTGGAAAATTTTAAGTTATCTACCTACCAGTATAAAAAATAGTAAATGAATTCATATTGATGGTCTAAAAAGAACACAAACATGTAATCAACTCATAGTAGGCTGATGCATGCATGTGTTTGATTTTACAATGTTTTCATCTAGGATATTAACCAGGTTTTCCGAAGGAAAAAACTGGTTATTAGATTGAGGTTATGTCGGCGGGCGGGCGGGCGGATGGGCGGACGGGCGGGCGGGCGTAAACAATTTCTTCTGTGCGCAACTCCTCCTACATTTCTCAACGGATTTTGACCAAACTTTCACAGAAGCTTTGTCATCAAGTGCCCTGGCGCATATTGTCGGGGTTTTGCGATTAGATAATATTTGACCTAATTATGGCCCTTTGTTTTTTTTTCCTTATATAGAATATATAGTGAACAATTTCTTCTGTGCGCAACTCTTCCTACATTTCTCAACGGATTTTGACCAAACTTTCTCAGAAGCTTTGTCATCAAGTGTGATACATATTGTCAGGGTTTTGCAATTGGTATATATTTGACCTAATTATGGCCCTTTGTTTTTTTTCATTATATAGAATATATAGTGAACAATTTCTTCTGTGCGCAACTCCTCCTACATTTCTCAACGGATTTTGACCAAACTTTCTCAGAAGCTTTGTCATCAAGTGCCCTGACACATATTGTCAGGGTTTTGCAATTGGTATATATTTGACTTAATTATGGCCCTTTGTTTTTTTTCATTATATAGAATATATAGTGAACAATTTCTTCTGTGCGCAACTCCTCCTACATTTCTCAACGGATTTTGACCAAACTTTCTCAGAAGCTTTGTCATCAAGTGCCCTGACACATATTGTCAGGGTTTTGCAATTGGTATATATTTGACCTAATTATGGCCCTTTGTTAACCAGGTTTTCCGAAGGAAAAAACTGGTTATTAGATTGAGGTATGTCGGCGGGCGGGCGGGCGGTCGTAAACAATTTCTTCTGTGCGCAACTCCTCCTACATTTCTCAACGGATTTTGACCAAACTTTCACAGAAGCTTTGTCATCAAGTGCCCTGGCGCATATTGTGGGGGTTTTGCGATTAGAAAATATTTGACCTAATTATGGCCCTTTGTTTTTTTTCCTTATATAGAATATATAGTGAACAATTTCTTCTGTGCGCAACTCCTCCTACATTTCTAAACGGATTTTTACCAAACTTTCTCAGAAGCTTTGTCATCAAGTGCCCTGACACATATTGTCAGGGTTTTGCAATTGGTATATATTTGACCTAATTATGGCCCTTTGTTTTTTTTCATTATATAGAATATATAGTGAACAATTTCTTCTGTGCGCAACCCCTCCTACATTTCTCAACGGATTTTGACCAAACTTTCAGAGAAGCTTGCTCATCAAGTGCCCTGGCACATATTGTCGGGGTTTTGTGATTGGATAATATTTGACCTAATTATGGCCCTTTGTTTTTTTTCCATATATAGAATATATAGTGAACAATTTCTTCTGTGCGCAACTCCTCCTACATTTCTCAACGGAATTTGACCAAACTTTCTCAGAAGCTTTGTTATCAAGTGCCTGCCACATATTGTCGGGGTTTTGTGATTGGATAATATTTGACCGAATTATGGCCCTTTGTATATTTTTTCCTTATACAGAATATATAGTGAACAATTTCTACAGTGCGCAACTTTTCCTACATTTCTCAACGGATTTTGACCAAACTTTCACAGAAGCTTTGTCATCAAGTGCCTGGCGCATATTGTAAGGGTTTTGTGATTGGATAATATTTGACCTTATTATGGCCCTTTGTTTTTTTTCCTTATACAGAATTGAACAAATTCTTCTGTGCTGAACTTTTCCTACATTTCTCAACGGATTTTGTTCAAACTTTCACAGAAGCTTTGTCATCAAGTGCCCTAGCACATATTGTCGGGGTTTTGTGATTGGATAATTTTTTACCTAATTATGGCCCTTTGTTTTTTTTCCTTATACAGAATATATATAGTGAACACTTCTTCTATGCGCAATTCCTCCTACATTATTCATGTTTTACATTGCACATAGTTACATTGTTTGTTGCTTGTATTTCAAATACAACATATTTATCTACAATGGTGATAATTGAAAACCTGGTTTCATGGCATTGCCATGTTTCTTGTTTTTTTTCATTATATAGAATATATAGTGAACAATTTCTTCTGTGCGCAACTCCTCCTACATTTCTCAACGGATTTTGACCAAACTTTCACAGAAGCTTTGTCATCAAGTGCCCTGGCGCATATTGTCAGGGTTTTGCAATTGGTATATATTTGACCTATTTATGGCCCTTTGTTTTTTTTTCATTATATAGAATATATAGTGAACAATTTCTTCTGTGCGCAACTCCTCCTACATTTCTCAACGGATTTTGACCAAACTTTCTCAGAAGCTTTGTCATCAAAGTGCCCTGGCGCATATATGTCGGGGTTTTGCGATAAGATAATATTTGACCTAATTATGGCCCGTTGTTTTTTTTTTCCTTATATAGAATATATAGTGAACAATTTCTACAGTGCGCAACTTCTCCTACATTTCTCAACGGATTTTGACCAAACTTTCACAGAAGCTTTGTCATCAAGTGCCCTGGCGCATATTGTCAGGGTTTTGTGATTGGATAATATTTGACCTTATTATGGCCCTTTGTTTTTTTTCCTTATACAGAATTGAACAAATTCTTCTGTGCTGAACTCTTCCTACATTTCTCAACGGATTTTGTTCAAACTTTAACAGAAGCTTTGTCATCAAGTGCCCTAGCACATATTGTAGGGGTTTTTTGATTGGATAATTTTTTACCTAATTATGGCCCTTTGTTTTTTTTCCTTATACAGAATATATATAGTGAACACTTCTTCTGTGCGCAATTCCTCCTACATTATTCATGTTTTACATTGCACATAGTTACATTGTTGCTTGTATTTGTATTTCAAATACAACATATTTATCTACAATGGTGATACTTGAAAACCTGGTTTCATGGCATTGCCATGTTTCTTGTATTTTGAATGTTATAAAAAATGTCCATTATATCTCTGCAGCAAATATGTTCCGAGGAAACTTTGTGAGCTGAGACTTGGCCAGTTTGATGTCAGATTTCATGCTGTAAGTTTGATCTCTTCCTCCTGTACATGTATATACAGTTTCATCAATATGATTAAAAAAAATTAAAATTGTATCCAAAGTATGTTACAAAATGTTTTGAATTTCTTACTTTCAAGAATGTCTGTACAATATCCTATCTTCCCTAATATATTTGATTTTGCTAAAAATCATTTTCATGTTGTTTTTTTGTTGTTGTTTTTTTTGGCTGCAAATATAAAAAAATGTTTTACTAAAAATTTAAAACATTCCATGTAAGAGCTAGGGGTGTAAAGTTTAAACAATAAGTACAAAAATTTACCTTAAGTTAGTATCAATCTGAATTTTTAGTGTGGTGAAACCACATAACAATATTTAGTGTGGTGAGACCACATCAGTATAAGTTAGCTGACTTACAGTATTAACATACACCTTCTATTATTATTTTGGGTTGAAAGGGATCTAGAAAAACTATTGTAAGACTGTTTTTCTCAGAAATATAGTGTTGTATTTTTTCATCACTATCTTGTTACCTTTGTCTACAAAACTTTTGGATATTTTATTTTGTCTTATGAGATTAGGTATGGCATATACAATTTCATTCTATTACAACTTCTTAGGAATGAAATTTATTAGATATTTGTTTTCATGTTTATTTCAGGAACCATTCTGTTTATATCCTGGTGAGGAATTGGTTGGAGCAGAGAATTATGGTAAGAGTGGATCAAATTACAAAACAGCAATTAAAGCCCAGCCAGTCATCAAAGCTGACCATGCTATACGTTTGAAGGCAATACTTGACCACACTGATGATGATGGTGTGGAGAGAAACGCAGGTGATATCTGGCAGATTGAAGGACCATTGATGTATTTTCCTACACCAAATGCTGTTAGTTATTGTTTTAATATGCTTTATAAGCTCACCTGAGCTAGCTCAATGTGAGCTTTTAGGATTGTTGAATGTCCGTCGATTGTTGTCCGTCCACACTTGTTCGTTAACACTGTAGCGGTCACATTTTTGCCTCAATCATCATTAAACTTTATCAGGATGCTTGTCTAGGTAATGTCTCAGATGAGTTTGAACATGGGTCATCTCGGAAGAAAAACTAGGTCACAGAAGCTAAAAATAGAAAAACCTTGTTAACACTCTAGCGGTCACATTTTTGCCTCAATCATCATCAAACTTTGTCAGGATGCTTGTCTAGGTAATTGCTCGGATGAGTTTGAACATGGGTCATCTCGGATGAAAAACTAGGTCACAGGAGCTAAAAATAGAAAAACCTTGTTAACACTCTAGTGGTCACATTTTTTACTCAATTATCATCAAACTTGGTCAGGATGCTTGTCTAGGTAATTGCTCAGATGAGTTCGAACATGGGTCATCTCAGATGAAAAACTAGGTCACAGAAACTAAAAATAGAAAAACCTTGTTAACACTCTAGTGGTTACATTTTTGACTCAATCATCATCATACTTGGTCAAGATGCTTGTCTAGGTAATTGCTCGGACAAGTTTGAACATGGGTCATCTCGGATGAAAAACTAGGTCACAGGAGCTAAAAATAGAAAATCTTGTTAACACTCTGGTGGCTACTGTTTTAATCCAAATATCCTGGAAATTGGTCTGAAAGTTTGTTTCGATGATTTCTAGGTCAAGTTTAAATATGGGTCACCTGGGTTCAAAAACTAGGCCTCACCACCCAAATATGGAAAAACCTTTTTAACACTCTAGTGGTCACATTTTTGACTCACCTATCATGAAACTTGGTCAGAATGCTTGTCTAGGTAATTGTTCGGATGAGTTTGATGGGTCAGATTAGCGATCTAGGGCCATCTTGGCCCTCTTGTTAGTGTATTTAGACTTTATTTAGTCAGATAGTGTAGAATACAACTATAAGCTTATAGACACATTCATGACCAACCAGTTTTAAGCAATGTGGGAGAAGTTTCTTACTCAAGGAAACAACCTCTTGTACCTTACAGGGTTTGATCTTCTTACTAAAATATTCAATATAATATATTTTGACAAAGTGAACAGACCTGCTGACAGAGATGGCTGCAAAAGCTTTGCCCAGTGACCTTAACAACTTGATAAAAAAAGTTTTTGAAATTTTAAATCCCCTTTTCCTATTAAATTTTAACTACATGTATAGATTTCAAAAATATGACCATTAAGATATGTTGGTTTTCCCATTTACTTTTATGAACAATTGTTAATGTACTTTCAATCCACGCATATAGATCCATCTCTGTACTTCTGCATTACAATTCAATAAAATAAGATGACATTGTCTATTTTGAATGTATTTCCCAAATGGGTTGCCAGTGTCGAAATAGAAGAAGGAAAATATGTAAAAATATCTTAAAATGAGGTTGAAAGTATTTGCTTCAGTTGTGATACATGTAATTAAGCTTATAAGTGGTAATTTTATTTATTTTGTAGGAAATAGTTGATATCGTGGCACCATACATTATACGAGCTGGCCAGGCATTAAAGCTTAGTGCTGTACAACAATTTACAGACAAAACTGGAAGGTATTTATAGTTCACTGATATTACATATAGATTTAAGTCTGTTCATATATATATCATTTAAGGTGCCTTCAACTTGAACTTTGATAGAATTCAGTTCCAGAAATATGAAGAAAATATATTGAAATAACATGGTATGTGGTGATTTGGAGTAATTTGAAGATATCATAAAATGCCTGATGATTAAGTCTTAGATTATCACAACTTTTACTGTTTTGTGACCGGAATGGTGAAAATCACAGATTTCAAATCACTTATTGCCCACAGCTGTGCGTCAGATGCCCGTATGTGTCTGAAATAAAGTAAGGTAGAGCACATCTAGTTGAAATTGTAATGTTAATAGTGTCAGTATGATACAAATGAAATCAACTTTCTTGTGTTATACTTTAGATGTATATTACAAACTTATTGCAAATCGTTTGTTATTACATGTATATGAAATGAAGGCGATGCAAATGGTTTGCACTGCAATATGTGAAATTTCAAAATCAGATTTGAAATTTTTGTTTGAAGGAAACATGTAACTGGAGAAGAATGGTATGTGAACAAACCAGGTGCATATCTGACTGGGGTAAATGAGGAAGTGGTCTCCATGGAAGAGAGTGTAACTCTAACCAAGGATACAGGACTCAAGTTACGAGCTTGTCAAACATTCACAGATGAGAATGGGGTTAAAAGGTAACATTTCAAATAGAAATTAGGTTACATGGGGTTTCAGGGGGTTAAGTGATTATGGTTGCTGACTTTAAATCCTGTCCAGATAGCCCAAATCTGGTCTCCATTGCCAAAAAAAGTAGTGCCTGTATTCAAAGAATAGGTTTTGAACATTTTTTATTAAACCTTTTCAGCACTAACATGCTGTAGTGACTGATCAATTCCGCCTGTGTAGTGTTTGACTAGTTTCCGGATGCTATGAAGTATGACCATACTTGATACTGTTGGTTATCCAGTTCTAGTAGTTTCATACTGAAATTCCTAATGACATGTACTGATAAATCCAATGGAAGGGAGAGTCCACCATACAAATATTGCAATGTAAGGATTAATTTATCTTTTAAGGATGTTAATTTTTGTAGACTGGCCGGAGAGCAGTGGCTGTTGACAGGGGAAGATCAGGATGAATATTACCCACAGATTGGTGTTGTAAGTTGATATAACAGTTTTCTTGTGTAAAATTCACGATGTACTTGTCTGACACATTAAACAAGGGTTGTTATGGATAATGCACGTTTTACTGACTCCCGTTTATTCTCTATGATTGGTGCAAAATGTGATTTTTTTTTAGCTAAACCTTAGAGCAATAAAATGAGGTTAGCTTTGTAATAGGGTGTGATATAGCCTGGGTTCCAGTCTGTCAATTTATTTATGTTTCTATTTGGCAAATCAACCAAAACAACAAACAACTACGGAATAGCGCATACAGCAAAAAAAATGTTATAAATAATCGCAGGCTAGGTATGATATAACAGTTTAGCAGTGTATATATAAAATGGAGAAAAAAACATGCAGTTTTTACTTGTTTGAACACTTGTTGCAATTAATGTCTCAATAATGTTTATTCTATTTTTGTATAATAAACAGACCTCTGTGATCGTAGGGAGAACGTGGTGGAAGTATAATCACTTTTTCTTCACCTCTTGTTTTGAATCCTGCTATTAGCATTCATTCTTTCATTCAAAGATGTCAGTCAGTAAGCTTTTGAAAATGTATTATGGTGGTTAGAATATGCTTCAAATTAAATATAACAAATATTCTTATATTGTGACTTATAGGAGGTAGTTTCAGTGGAGAAGAGAGTAGTGTTAGCACAAGGCCAGTATTGTGTAGTACTGGATGTGGTGGACTCAGACTTAAAACCTCAATATGGCAAGAGAGAACTCAGGAAAGGCTGCTGTACCTTCTTCCTGCATCCAGGCTAGTATCTCTTTACATTATCATGTCATGTCATCCAGGCTAGTATCTCTTTACATTATCATGTCATGTCATCCAGGCTAGTATCTCTTTACATAATCATGTCATGTCATCCAGGCTAGTATCTCTTTACATTATCACGTCCTGCATCCAGGCTAGTATCTCTTTACTCTATTATGTCATGTCATCCAGGCTAGTATCTCTTTACACTATCATGTCATGTCATCCAGGCTAGTATCTCTTTACATTATCATGTCATGTCATCCAGGCTAGTATCTCTTTACATAATCACGTCATGTCATCCAGGCTAGTATCTCTTTACATAATCACGTCCTGCATCCAGGCTAGTATCTCTTTACATTATCACGTCCTGCATCCAGGCTAGTATCTCTCTACTCTATTATGTCATGTCATCCAGGCTAGTATCTCTTTACACTATCATGTCATGTCATCCAGGCTAGTATCTCTTTACATTATCATGTCATGTCATCCAGGCTAGTATCTCTTTACATAATCACGTCCTGCATCCAGGCTAGTATCTCTTTACAGTTTACACTATCATGTCATGTCATCCAGGCTAGTATCTCTTTACATTATCAAATCATGTCATCCAGGCTAGTATCTCTTTACATAATCACGTCCTGCATCCAGGCTAGTATCTCTTTACATTATCACGTCCTGCATCCAGGCTAGTATCTCTTTACTCTATTATGTCATGTCATCCAGGCTAGTATCTCTTTACACTATCATGTCATGTCATCCAGGCTAGTATCTCTTTACATTATCATGTCATGTCATCCAGGCTAGTATCTCTACATTTTTATATCATGTCATGTCATCCAGGCTAGTATCTCTTTACTCTATCATGTCATGTCATCCAGGCTAGTATCTCTTTACTCTATCATGTCATGTCATCCAGGCTAGTATCTCTTTACATTATCATATCATGTCATGTCATCCAGGCTAGTATCTCTTTACACTATCATGTCATGTCATCCAGGCTAGTATCTCTTTACATTATCAAATCATGTCATCCAGGCTAGTATCTCTTTACTCTATCATGTCATGTCAATCCAGGCAGGCTAGTTTCTCTTTACATTATCATTTCATGTCATGTCATCCAGGCTAGTATCTCTTTACATTATCAAATCATGTCATCCAGGCTAGTATCTCTTTACATTATCATATCATGTCATGTCATCCAGGCTAGTATCTCTTTACATCTATCATGTCATGTCATCCAGGCTAGTATCTCTTTACATTATTATATCATGTCATGTCATCCAGGCTAGTATCTCTTTACATTATCATATCATGTCATGTCATCCAGGCTAGTATCTCTTTACTCTATCATGTCATGTCATCCAGGCTAGTATCTCTTTACATTATCATGTCATGTCATCCAGGCTAGTATCTCTTTACATTATCATGTCATGTCATCCAGGCTAGTATCTCTTTACATTATCATATACTATTATATCATGTCATGTTATATATATATATTTGAAGTGAATAATGTATTTGTATAGATATATATTTATTTAAATGACATCATTCTTTGCTTAAATACTGCATTGAAATATAATGTATTGTTATTTCGATGTTATTGTTTATGATAATTAAGTTATTTCTTTTTTTAGAGGAGACTCTTGAAAATGGAATCCAGAATAGCTTTGTTCTGTCTGAAGACGAAGCCATTGTGCTTATAGCAAATGAGGATTTTAAAGACACAAACCAGAAAGGTTAGTTTTAACAAAACTTTTATAAGATAATTAGAAGGCAATGAAATTGTCAAACAAATGCAAAATTAAAAGTGAAGGCAATTTATAAACTATAGTTAATAGTTCATGGGATATTTTCTCCAACTTATCTACTTTTATAATAATAATGAGAATAATAATAATAATTACATGATAACATGAAGTTAATGAATTAAATAAAAGTAACTTCTCAAGTTCAGCAGTCAGTGCCAGATAAAAGAGTTGTGTTAATATTAAATCTAGAACAGTTAAATATTTCACATTCATATATAATTTGTTGTTCAGGGTAATTAATAGAACCTTTAGTAACAGTGTTTTTCTATATATGATATTTGTACTATTATCCACTTATCTTGTCACATCAAAACCTCAATAGGCAGTTCATAAGGCCCCTCAAACAGTCTCATAAAGATGCTATATACATGTAGTTATAGAAGTCAAAGACAATATTATTGTATTTACAGGCAAGAAGGTCTTACGTAAATCTGGTGAGAAATGGATGGTTAATGGTCCAGTAGAGTATATACCTCGCATTGAAGTCAGTGTTATTGACAAAAGGTGAGTTAATTAACTAATTGACAAAAAATGGGTTAATTCAGCGAGTAAATCACCACATTTACTAGTGCATTTTAAAAAAGTTAGAATACCAATAGGTAGTATTTTCCAATCACAGATGATCACTTGCCAAGTAAAAACAATAACTAAACAAGGTTTCAGTTATTATCGTGCAAATCTCAATATATAACAGCATTGACATACATACATTGATAAGGTTATTGTAAAATCTACATAATTATGATAATGTTTTTGTGTGTGATATGATGTTACATTACTGTTTGTAGGAAGCAGATCCCGCTGAGTAAAAATGAAGGAATATATGTACAAGATACACAGACTGGCAGGGTAAATAGAATAAAACTTAATTCAAATATATGCTAAATTGTTTTTAAAAAGAATATCAGTCTTTTAATTTTTTAACTTGCATTAACTTTTTTCTTGTTGAATTTGTATATTGGACTTTTATTCACCCTCACCTCACTACACCCCATATACCAGAATAAAAACTAATTGATTTGACTGATTTTTGATGATTACAGGTGCGGGCTGTGATGGGACCAGAATCTTACATGTTACAGTCATATGAACTTCTCTGGAAGAAAGAATTGGATCCTATTGTTGAAGAAATGCTTAAGTAAGATTTGCTTTTCTTGTCTTATGTCTGCCTGCAAAGTTCAATTAAATAGGGAAAGCATCTGTTTTGTAATCAAGGTATTCTCTTTATTTGATCCTTGAGCGAGGCAAAATTTTTCTCGAACAGTAAGTCTGTCATTTGTCATTCACCCCTGATTCAGAAATCATGATGGAAAAGTAGTTTGTTACTTGGCAATAACTTGTTAGTTATCCAGGAAAGCCAGTTACAGGAAAGTCTGTTAGGTAGAATGACTACCAAGATTTTATCAAAAATGTGTTGAAATCAGTGGAAAAACAAGGCAAACAAACTAAAGATCCTTAATATGACATGAAATTTATCATAGTTTGAATTCAAATATCCTTGACAATTTTGCACAATAATCATGAATATTTCAGACATGGTGGAGGAACAGGGTCAGGTGACATCAGAAAAATTGCTTACTTTGAACAATCTATTGACCCACAATTTCTCAAGGTCAGTTTAAACATATTCCCAAGTTTACCCATTAGTATCCATAATTTTAAACTTCACTGTTAAAAGTTTTTAATGTCATTTGTCAATGGATTTTAAAATTATCTTGTAGAAATGTTTGTCTCCATGAAACAGGTTTGCATTCATAACTCAAAGATTATGGTTTCTGAAGATGTCAAGGGCCAAAGTCTATTTATATTGTTGCTCATATATTGGAAGAAGCAAAAACATGTTTAGCTTTGTGAAGAAATACATTTCTGCTTTTAAAATCAAACTAGTTTATTTGTTTATAAAGTAGTCAGTTTATTTGACATTTCCGATAAGTTTGATGAAAAACTTGTGTTATGAAATTAACATATACCGGTAGCTATGAAAAATACCTGAAAATAAAAATGTAATGCTATTATTTTATTAATATTTAGGGCCGTGACAAGACGAGGGTTGTGCAATACAGATGTCCTGGAAACACAGCTGTTCAAGTGAACAATTACCTAGATAAAACAGCAAGGGTGGTGTTTGGTCCAGACCTGGTTATCCTAGGACCACATGAAAACTTTAGTGTTCTAAGTCTCAGTGGTTTGTTAATTTTCTAATCATAGTTTGATAGAATTATCTCTTTGTTTAAAAGAATTATTTTATAATTTTTGACAGAATTATTTTGAACATTGATCTTAAACTTTAAAAAAATGGTACAAAAGGACAAAGAAATTTTAGTTTCGAAGAGTTAAAATAGGAAATGTGCAATTTTTGTTTGTCATTTTATTTGTATGTCTGTTAACAATGATTCCACCATTTATTGTTAATAATGCACATACATAGTACTTTACTTTTACATGGATAAATTACTATGTACAGTTTGTGCATACTTTATTATTTTGTTGCATATAAAATATTCAGTTGTTACCGCAATAAAATCATTCAAGGTAAACATTTCTATATGTTTGCTAAAATTTGAAGTAACCACAACAAGTCTTTTATTCATATTTTAGCTGGAAAACCGAAAGTTTCCAATGCAATGAAGTCATTATGTCTTATGTTGGGTCCTGATTTTATCACAGATATTATAGAGGTAAGTATAATATGAAAATATGGTTCTGTAAAAGGGCTAGACATTTTAAAGCTGTATGTCTCCAGATGAGCCAAAATATTTCAAGAAAATCAAACTTGAGAAAAATGTAAGACGATTTTAAGAAAAGTAAAAAGATTCAAGTGATATTTCAAATGTAATGTGCAGTATGTAGAGAATACCATGTTTTTATCTGATATTACAAAATTTATCAAGCAAGGCTAAAAAAAAGTATCCTCTAGGTATTTTATTTGTTTGACAGAACTTGTGAACTATCTTACATATATACCACTATTTCAGGTTGAGACATCTGACCATGCTAGACTTAGATTGAAAGTTGCTTTTAACAACCATTTTGAGGTAACTTTCAAATCGTTCTTATAAGTATTTTTTTTTTAGTATTAGTTTTCTATGACAATATATTAGTATCTTATGCCTAGCCATTGGTAAATTTATTCATTTTGATATATACTCTTGTATTATTTTTAATGACTATTATTTTCTCAAATGGAAAACTAAATGATTAAAAATTCTGATTTCATTTATGCAACAAATTCATTCTAAACTTCTTTTATGCAGATAATTGTTTCTGATTTTCAAATGTGAAATAAAATCTAAGACTTTATTAATGTTAGAAAATTGCCTTACACATTAATGCTTGGGAGTGCACTTATAAACTTTCTGCGTTAATTTGTTAAATCTTTGTACATATGTAGCATGTTTTCCATTTACAGTATGAGAAAGGTAACAAAGAAAGTGAATCAAAAGTGTTTGCAGTTCCTGATTTTATTGGATTTGCATGTCGGCAAATAGGTAAGATTTCAGACCAAAAGATTTTCTAGAATTATTTGATTGGTGAATGAAAATTTTTCCTACTTAATGATTATTGATGATTGAAATAATAATTTAAGATCAAACTTAAAACATGTAATGGGTTTGTATAGTTGCTTTTGATATTAGATATATTTTGCATTTTTAATTGTATGTATGTAATGAGTCTCTGTTATCATATTGTATGATAAGATACCTTTTGTAGAATTTCATCATCATTCTATCTAAGTGTGGGTGGAGGTGGGTTCTCTTTGGCCAAATAGTTTTATCCAGGTATCACTTGTCTGAAGTTATGCTGTAAAAGGCATCTTAGGACCTTTGTCCTGTGTTTTGTTTTTACTGGATAATGAAGAAATATGTTTTTGACAATTTCAGCTTGTGAAACAAATTCTTGCAACTTATAATGCTCATTTTTAAGTGTAAACCCATAAGGGCTTGAACCCACGACCCCTGGTTTAATAGGCAGACATCTTAACCACTAGGCCATTGTTCACATTGACACTTCCTGCCAGGTGACCATATCAGCCTAAACAAGTGTAAATGCAGGCTAACCTGAACATCGGCAGCCTGACTAGGTTATACTTTACTACATTTTCATTATTTTGAAACTGTAAATCCCTGGAATTGCTTTGAATTGTTCCAAATTTTAAGCAGATTGAGTTCATGATGTAGATGCTAAAATGAATAAAAAATTCAGCTGACAACAGAATGGTTTTATTTACTGTGACAGTAAATGTTTATTTTGATGTCAGGTAGCAGGATTAGAGCTGCTGTAGCCTTGATACCTTTTGATGAATTTCATCGTCATTCTGCTCAAGTCATACAACAAGCTGTGTTCAGAGATCCAGTTACTGGGGCAACCTATCCTTTCCTTAAATTTGATGCTAACAATCTGGTATGTTATACTGCTCCTAATCATAAAATAATTTATTTATATTATTTAATCCTTCCTCGCATTTTAAGATCTTGTTAATAATTGTAAAATAGTGATATTTTGATGTTTACTGAATGATTGAGGTCACTTATTTTTCAACACTTTCTCAATAGGTCTCTCGTTTGTAATGAAATTAATGAATTGAGTACATACTAAAAAAAAAAACATCTCAAAAAGCACATGGATAATCATTCTGAAAGTTGATATCAGATATATTTTTATCATAAATTTATTTTGTTTTTGATATAGTTTGAACTTTGACCTTTTTATCATTCAAATTTTGAACTTTTGTATACCTTAAATTTTCAGGTGATCTCATCAATTGACATCCAGAGTATTGAACCTGTGGACAAGAAGATGAGTGACAGCCTTACCAAGTCTATACAATTAGCCATCGAGATTTCAACAAAGTAAAATCATTTATCCTGCATGTATACTTCTTATAGAAACCTTGAACTAATTTTTTTCTCCACCATTTCAATTTCTGGATTTAAGCTTCACTTTCTAAGGAGTACTTGAGTTATCCTGTACACTACATTGGCTCTTGCTTGGTTCAAGTTTAGTGTACAACTCTGTATCTATTTCTGTTCTCTGACAATTCACATGCCCTCGTAAAGATATTTGTAGGTCATTATCCAAAACCCATAACTCTAGTATGCATTTTGAAAGAAATATACCCCTCTTAAAAATTCTTTGATAAAATTTGCTTCCAAATTTATCTTTACAAGAACTTAAAGAATTTTCTTGAAACTATAGACATATCTTTTGTGTACTTATTGTAGGTCTCTAAGAAAGGACCTAAGTCAAACATGGATTTTTTATGGAATTATTTTTTTTTTTTACTCAAAAAACAAATGTAAACTTTTGAATACTGTTTTGTTTATTGTTGAGAATGTGGCTTACCGTCTAGGGGTCTTGAAAATTGTTTGACCTGGAAATTTGTTTTAAAGCTGATTATTAAATTTTCATTTTGATACATAAGTAAAATTCCCAAAAAAAAAAAGTGTAACAATTTAGTGTTAACAGATATTGTGAATCTTGTCATGCAAGTGCTTAACTATTACATAGAAAGGAACATGTCTTTCTACTTTTTTAAAAAATTTTCTATAGAAGAGCTGCCCCATGAACTTTAAAGAACAAAACAAGAGGAAAAGAGGTATCTAGAGAGCAAAAACTAAATGAAAAACATTCGGAGAAAGAAATGAAAAGCTTGAACTTCGGTCTTCACGGAGCTGTAGAATCACCGGACAGGCCTACGCTGAGGCACGGAAGGCTGAGCGAGTCCTCATTAATGTGAAACGAAAAGAAGGTTAGTTGTTTTAGAAAAAATCTCTAATAGGAAAAAAGTTTTGAAAGTTTTATTGGTCGTTTTTTTAACAAATTTTTGGTTTTTAAAAATATGGATATTTCATATTTAATGAAAGGGGGGAGATTTTACAATTTAAAGTTTTTGGGTTTTTCTTTATGAGAAGTTTCCAGTAGCTTAGGGAAATCATTGGTTTATTTTTTGTGACCCCTTGTCCCCCCGAAATAATGTTTGGGGGGGAAATTTTGTTTTTTAACCAGGGGAAAAAAAGTTGAAAATATGGCTAAAAACAGTCGTGTGACTAAAAAAAAACAAACAAAACATGTAAGAAAAGTTTTAGTTTAAATTTTTTAAAGTGCAAGTTTGTATATGAAATAAAGTACACAGAGTAGTGTCAACAACAGTATTTGTAAATATATTAGTCTATGATAGAGGCTCTTACTGTCTTTCTTTGTCAGAAAAGCTTGAAATGCAGTACATTAACTTACTAGCATGGGTGAAGATAAATGAAGGAAAGTATACTATTTTAAGTGATCTTAATTTGAATTAGGATGCCAAGATTTCTTATTCATAGTGAAGAAGAATTTGGGTTGTTATTTTTATACAAATAAGTTTCAGAATCTTTTTATAAAAGAGCCTGAACTGCTTGTATTTAATTGTCACAGCAATGTTTTTTCTTTTACAGGAGCTAGGCTTAAAGCAAAAGCATTGGAAATAGAGCACTATGCAAAATTAGAGGCACAATATATGGTAATTTATTTATTTCTTACATTAGATAAATGTACTGTTAATGGGGTTCTCATAAAATGTTAACAGGTATGGTTTTTGTGAATGAAGTAAAGATAATGCAAATTATATGAATATGGACTGGTTCTTAATCATTTGATGTGATAACCTCCCAGAGGGAGCAGATTTTCTATTCCCTAGGGAGCAGATATAACAGTTTCATTAAATGTATTAATAACAAATATCCACAAGAACAGTGCTGTAAAATAAAAATTTTGTTACATAAAATTCCAATACAATAATTAGAAAACTTTATATTATTTGACTATTTTTTACAACTGTTATAATTTCTTATATCCCTAGGCAAAGAAAGGTGAACTGAATTTTGTGAGGAATCAGATACGATTGGAGTTACAAAAGGAGAAAGCTTTGTCAAATATTGAAGTAAAAAGATTCTCTGATATGGTAAAGGCCATTGGAGCAGACACCCTGGCTGCCATAGCAACAGCAGGACCAGATACACAGGTATGTCTAAACTGAAGTATTCTCATCTATTTCACTTATCAATTTTAGATATTGTGTTTAGAAAAAACATGCCAAGTAGTGAACTAGTTAAAAAAAACAAAGAGAAACATTGAATGTTATTGTAAAGATGTTTTATTCTAAGGTAGATTGTGGGCAAGTTTATATCAATATATGACATTTAAGGTACCTGCAGATTCTTCTCTGTTTAATAGTCCTAACATATTCTGTGTTAATTGTCTGTATAAGTGGTGGTATTTGTTTGAAGCCCTCGAGGAAGATAGGATTTACGTGATCAAGTTACCTTTGTTAAATAAAGTTAAAGTATATGTAATTTATTATTTGCATCAGTTTTAATAAAATTTTCCTCAGAGGCATCCAAGGTTGAATAGTTAAGCTCCTCACAATAATGGGTTCAAATCTTTACTGTGAGATGAGAATAAACTTACAAAAGGTTGGCAGTCCTGCCCTGCAATTCTTTGATTCGCCTGTTTTTTAACCAGGTTTTCAATTTTGAAAATCCTGGTTATTAGATTGGGGTATGGCGGGCGGATGGGCGGATGGGCGGGCGGGCGTCAAACGAAATTGTGTCCGCTCTGTAACTACTTCAACCCTTTGAAGAATTTTGATGAAACTTCAGACAAATGTTTACCACATCAAAGATGACGTGCAGAACGCATGTTCCGCATGGCTGGGCTCCAAGTTCAAGGTCACAGTGACATTAACATTGAAAATCCTGTCCGCTCTGTAACTCTTCAACCCTTTGAAGAATTTTGATGAAACTTCAGTACAAATTGTTTACCACATCAAGATGACGTGCAGAACGCATGTTCCGCATGGCTGGCTCCAAGGTCAAGGTCACAGTGACATTAAACATTGAAAATCCTGTCCGCTCTGTAACTCTTCAACCCTTTGAAGAATTTTGATGAAACTTCAGACAAATGGTTTACCACATCAAGATGACGTGCAGAACGCATGTTCCGCATGGCTGGCTCCAAGGTCAAGGTCACAGTGACATTAACATTGAAAATCCTGTCCGCTCTGTAACTCTTCAACCCTTTGAAGAATTTTGATGAAACTTCAGACAAATGTTTACCACATCAAGATGACGTGCAGAACGCATGTTCCGCGTGGCTGGCTCCAAGGTCAAGGTCACAGTGACATTAACATTGAAAATCCTGTTTACATGATTTTAACTTGATTTGGCAGTCAAAGGTCATATCATCTTTGGAGGTAATTTAAAAAAGATATGATATATTATTTCATGTCTACTTTGTAACTTGTTTTTCATTATACAGAATTATCAATATAATTATAGTGAACAAATTCTTCTGTGCTGAACTCGTCCTACATTTCTCAACGGATTTTGTTCAAACTTTCACAACAGAAGCTTTGTCATCAAGCACCCTGGCACATATTGTCGGGGTTTTGTGATTGGATAGTTTTTGACCTAATTATGGCCCTTTGTTTTTTTCCTTATACATAATATTATAGTGAACACTTCTTCAGTGGCAATTCCTCCTACATTATTCATGTTTTACATTGCACATAGTTACATTGTTTGTTGCTTGTATTTGTATTTCAAATACAACATATTTATCTACAATGGTGATAATTGAAAACCTGGTTTCATGGCATTGCCATGTTTCTTGTTTTTTTTTTTAAAAACCTAATTTTGTTTTTACATCTGTTCAGAATTAACTTCATTGCCTATTGTACTACACAACAGCATTTTTTTGTTTTTGTTTTCTTCCATTTATAATATATGAAAGAATTGTAGTATATAAGAATTCAAATATAAACTTTCATCTTCAATTTTAGGTCAACTGCTTGTCGCCCTCCCGGGTTCTGGAATCAACCATTCCCCCATCACCAGATGGGAACACCGTCGGGCGATCATGCTGCGCATTTGTTTATGAACGGCGGAGGGTCTGGATATAGAGACCACCGCAGCCGGTAGGTTTTCTGAGATATTATTATATACCATCACCATTTAATGATGGTTATTATAGTGTAAGACTCAAAATGTGTAGATAATTGACATGTTGTGTTGAAGATGCGACTTTGTGATATAGTTATATAGTGATAAATTATTAAAATACTGATTTCTTAAGAGTGATTGCATGTATAATTTGCAAGCAAAAATAGAGTAAATATTCTGTAAAGTAGGTGAACAGTGGTGTATGTAAACAGCAAAATCAAGATTTGTTTACATTGATATTGTATCTCAGAATTGTATACATGAAAAATGTTATAATTGTGTTTTCTGATTACAGAGCAGTTCATTTCTTTTTTGCAATTCTTTACCTATATTTACATGTATATGCAATACCCTGTTAGTTGTATAGGATAAACATTAACGGGTAGTTGTTTAGGGTATACATTTTGTATCTTGTGATAACCGATTTTATCAGACTTTTAACATACTATCAACTTGATTGTTTATTTTTTCTCAAAAAAACATCTTTTTTGTAGGTTTTCTATCTTTTTATATACATGTAGTTTATAGTTTGTTATTTTTCATATACATATCTGGTCAAGGTTTTTTTGTATCATATACATATTATATCAAATGAAACTTTTTTCAAGTGATGTTTGAAGTTACAATTCAACAAGAATCTGCTCTCTTCATCTACTCCTTTCTTGTCATCTTCTTTTTAAAACAAAGTTTAAAAATTTTGACAGTTTATTTTTTCTAAGAACTGTCCTCATAGTTTTGTATTTATTATTCAATTTAAAATGTTTTTATTATTTTGGCATTACACCACTGACATTGCCTCTTGAAAGTAGCGCTCAATGTGTGTATGTTAAGTAGGCATCACACCTTGACATTATGCTTCGATCGAGAAGATACTTTTAAATACTACACTAGGGAGGTATCAACTTCAATTTAAGCATTTCCCAATTTTTTGGGTACGCACTACAAAATTTATATATGTTTTTTTATTTATCTAGAATATAAAGCTATTAGTGTTCTCTAGAATTCACATTCGGCTAATAGTATATTGGTTGTTGTTTAGTATCATTGTAGTTACTAAAATTATAGAATACAGTGATGTACCTCTTATTTCCCAACAATTTATATTTGCTTGCATGATGTATAGAAACTTTAGGGCTACCAATCAATTTGTAAAGTTCAGTAAATGTCACATACATTTCACTGGTATACATTTCTTTTTATGCCACCGTGCGATGGCGGTTGGCATCATAGCGATCTCACTGTGCTTGTGCTCTGCTTTGTTTGTTGTTCTTGCTGTGTGTGTTATACCTAGTTACTCATACGTCGAACTTCAACAACATCTTTCTTGTGACCAAACCACTGTCCAAATTTCAACCAAACTTGGCAGGATTGAACCTTGGCCGTGACGGCTTCCCAAAGTTGCTTCAAAGCGGCTCAAAATCGCCCCGCGCAGCCCGGGGGTCATTGACTTTCACTCCTATCTACATCATACGTCAAAACTTACAATCCTTCTTGTAAAGACCCAAAAGGCTCACGAGCTTTGCATATTTGCATAAGGCATTGTCCTGGTAGACCTTACCACCAGATTGTTCAAATGATAGCCCTGGGCGCTCAAAAATCGGCCCGCCCGCGGGTCATCTGATCTTTCTCACTTCACTATGTACACTATGTACAACCTTAACCATACCCTCTCTCGCTACACACGACCCCAAAAGGCTAGACTTAGGATATTTTGCATAAGGCATTGTCTGGTAGACTTTACCGCAGATTGTTCAAATGATCGGCCTGGGGTCAACATCGCCGCGCCCGTGGGTCATTGGTCTTTCCTTATATCGCTCCATACCTCCGCTCACCAAAACTTATCGTAAAAACTTAAAAAAAAATTTCTACGCAATTGACAAAAGGTTACAGAGGTCCTACGATATTTCTTGCCATGAAACATCCGTGTAGTGCACCTCCTTCAAGCAGGCACTTCGTAGCAAAATTATAGCCTGCGGGCAAAATTGGCCCAACCCCCAGGCCCCGTGTCTCCACAAGATCTTACACTGGCATCAGGAGCAAGATCAGATCAACTTTAAAAACTCTAATATTCTTTCATTGCTTTATCCCTCAACAGATTAAACTACTCTAATATATCTCTGATAAAACTAGAACCTGCATCACGGCAAGTTTACATGAAAGCTTTAGAACTAAATTCTATTGTCATTTTTGCAAGCATACGGGCATTTTCAGTTGATCCAAATATTGATCCTGATCCAAAATTGCATCCTCTCATTTTGACTGAAAACTTTTTGTATCTTGTTCTTCGTTTTTTTGTTGATTTTTCATCCGAAACTAGTTTCGGTTTATTGGCAAATCAGCATATTTTTACATTTTTGCAATATATACCATTCAACTATTATGAAAGCATGATTAATTTAGTAACATAAACCAATGAAAATAAAATCACGGATATTGAATCCTGATCGCTGATCTTTTGTTTAGTGAACACGGGGGCCAGGGGTCATTGATTTTCACTATGTACATATATGTAAAAACAACTTCTTGTCTGAGGTACAAGGCCTTAGAGATTTTATATTTGGTATGTATATATGGGTCCTCTACAAAGTTGTTTTAATATTGCCCCTAGGTGTTAAAATTGCTGGCCCCCAGAGGGCGATAGGTTTTTCCTTAATTGTATAAAGTCAAAACTTGAAAAGCTTCTTCTTGAATTGACAAAAGGCTAGAGGTTAATATATGGCATTGACTTTGCGAGTGAACGCTCTACAGATTGTTCAAATAATAAGCCCTTGGGTCAAAATTGGTGTCCACGCGGGGTACTTGATTTTCATTATGTACATCTGTAAAAAAAACAATATATATATTTTTGTCTGAAGAAACAATGGGCATAGAGGGCTTTTGGATCTTTTGCATATAAATAATCCTCTATAGGTCCCATACCAGAAGTTGTTCAAAATTTTCCCCTTGTGTCAACCCGGGGGCAAAGTGATTCTCATTATGTACACATAGTAAAAACAGAAAATAAAACAAATTTTTTCTGAATGGGAGAAAAGCTACAGCTTTGTTTGGTGGACCTT